TCACGAATAGATACCAATCGATCCATTGGTATAAGGTAAACTCCACTCGTATATGAGGAATTCCATTGGTTGACGTCACAACAAACCAACCATTAAATATCCCATACATGCTTCGTTTCTAAAGCCATCTGGTATCCCTGTCTTAATGACGAGATCTCCTCACCCCTATCACAACATCCCTAGGTCACGAATAGATACCAATCGATCCATTGGTATAAGGTAAACTCCACTCGTATATGAGGAATTCAATTGGTTGACGTCACAGCAAACCATCCATCAAATAATCCATACATGCTTCGTTCATAGAGCCATCTGGTATCCCTGTCTTAATGACGATTTCTCCTCACCCCTACAACAACAACCCGAGGTCATGAATAGATAGCAATCGATCCATTGATATAACATAAACTTTATATCAGCAAAAAATATTTCTCACGATTTGCATTCCACTTGAACTGCGATGTTCTCTTGCAAATGCTATGTTCATCTTTAGTTATTTCGAAAAATTATTTAACCTTGGTTGGAATGGATTTGATGAGCTGCATAAAATATCACCGGAAGTCGTTCATGGGCATTTGAAACTGCGAGCTTAAGCGGATTGAGTTCTAAGCCATCACTTATCAACATCTTAATGGCGCACGAGTGCAGCCGGCCTGTCACGGTGTACTTGAATAACAATCCAAAATCAGGTAGAAATTCATGACATCGTTTATCATTGATTAAAGATATATTTCTTTTACAACAAATATCTTCACATTTTCACTGAACTGTTCAGCCTTAGTGCTCACATATTTTAGGGGCACATGTGCAGTTTACGTTCAATGTCTCTTCTTCACGTCTGAGAGTAGCGTAAATGCATTGATCGAAAAGTTTCACGCGACGTCTCTTCATATATTGTTGTGCTTTTCTGCTAGGTGATATTTAATTTAGAAGCCCTATTACCTCAGCGCATCACGGATGAAAAATGCTGCATTCATGTTTCACGCAAAAAACAATCGGACTATCTGAATCACGCAAGAGGTATAGGGGACCACTTTGTTGAAGAATAGGCTGTATTAATAACTATTAATCCATGCATAACTATGAGATCAATAACAAATAGGCAACTTTGATTATTTTATAGGCATCTTTTTAAAAGCATTTATTTTCTTGGCCTGAGAAATGTATTAGATATGATATCACTTAGAGACATCTAGCCTCTAAGTATTAATTACATGACCTTTTAGGAGTCAAAATTTAGATTTCTATCGTTTTGAAGTCGTTGCAGAGAGCAGTCGAAAAGAATATCGGTCACGCATTCTTGCTTTCACTATGTATTAGAAGTAAAAAATATAATATTCTACGCCATGATATACATTCAAAAATAGCTAGTCCGACTTCGCGCTCCAAGAGCGTCTAGTTTGTGTACGTATGGACTAGTTGTGGCGATTTTCTACACTTTTAAAATCGCTTTTAAAAAAGCTTGAAACATGTTGAAATCGTCTGAAACTTACAGATATTATAGGAAAAACACTTCTGAACCATAGGCCATTTTGTTGGTTTCCATATATGGCATGGATTTGCTAAAGGAAGCCCTCGAAGCTAATATGCACAGGGAACCCGCACCAATGACATAAATTTTTTTGATATGACATAGAACGACTATTTTTACCACACATTTTATTATTTCAACAACTGAACGTGCTCGATATCGTTTTATACGACAAACTGTTAATTTTCGTTATTTGTACGTATGAAATTCCCAGATATTATTATATGTAATAGGACTCCATGCTGTCCAATTATGAAATAATTGGACGAGGAAAATTCCGAGGACTGCCAAAAATTGGACGAGGCCGTGGCCGAGTCCAATTTGGTAGTCAGAGGAATTTTTCGAGTCTAATTATTTCTTAATTGGACAGCATGGAGTCTTATTACCTATTAATTATATAGCCACATATTGATCCCAAATAGGTAAAAGCCAACCACAGCTTTTAACAATAACAGTAATGACACCTTCATTTTTAACAAAAATTAACTTTTATTGGTTTATTTTTAGTTACTAAAAATATTTAATTCGTAGCTAGGATTGGTTAATGTTTATTGAGTGATGTTGTACGTCACTTTTAGTGTATCAGATTTCTTACTTCAATGGTTTATTCTTCACGTGCAAGTACCAGTAGACTATCATATTCTCATAGTTAGTTTTTTCTGCATGTCTTATAATTTACGATCAAGAACAAGACGAGATTACGCGAGAATGGCGGACGAAGGGGTTCAGGATAGTCATGACACTCTCGAAACCGAGTCAGAATCAGAAGCNTATTCTTATCATAGATATATTTCATAAACTCTAAAAAGGCGCCAATTTCTAACCTAAATTATCGATAATTATTTCAACTGACTTTGCGCCAAAACCTGTCAAACTTCAGTGAACTTGCCCAAGCTTGCCTGGTGACGTCATAATAGGAGTCTACAGCTAAGCTAATAATGACAATGTTAGACCGAAATCAATAGACCGTTCATGAATATATTTTGATGCAACAGGACAATTAAGTCATTCAGCTGCAGGACGCCATCGTGTACACATCAAACTTTTGAATCACTGTAAGTTCAATTTCCTATAAACTCAGCACATAGGTACTTTTCAACCATTCACATCTAAAATCTCCAAGAGTATGGATAAGGAAATGACTTCAAGTGAAAGTGGAAATTTACTTGTTTGTGACATCTGCAAAAAATCATTTATCGACGAAAAGAGGCTTTCAAAGCACAAGAAAACGGTACATAGTGGACAAACGTTTAAATGTGACCGTTGTGACCAAACTTTCACTATCCTGGGAAATCTTAAGCGTCATGAAAAGAAACATTCCCAAGAAAAACTGTTTGAATGCAAATATTGCAAACGCAAATTTTACAGAAAAGATAAATTRAACGAACACCAAGATAGTTGTAAAAGAAAATATCTAGAGAGTGATGGAAAGAGGAATCACGAGACAAGTGACGATGAACCTCCTAAAAAACGTGAGAAGTTGGACAACCAAGAAGCATGTGAAGATGAAMCGTGTGACAGTACGACATCAGCCATTGAAGGAACTCTAAAAAAGTTTCATTATAAACCTCGTGTCAGAGAACAATACGACATGAATTTATCCTTAAAAGGAAAAAAGAGCTACATAACCAGACAATTGAACAAACAGCTCACCTTGAAAAAAGGCATCAAGTGGTATATCAGTGTTCAAGCTAAACTCGTGAAAACCAACAGTGAAGGGCAAGTAGTGACCTCTGAGCCGCACTTTAGAAGCCTGTGTAATACCACCGTTAGTGCTAGTGAAATYGAAAAACAGCTAAATGAAGCTAATGAAAAAATCACGAAAGCATTAGCGACCTATCAAAGAGAAGGAAGTGGTTGGCTACTTTCACATATTCTACATGTCGATCTTCATGTAGCGCAATACACTCCAATCAAAGGATCTAGTTACCTCCCGCTCCCTAAGAAGCTGAAAGATAAGAAAGCTATTCTAAATCCAAAAAATAACGACAGTCAATGTTTTAAATGGTGTATTTTGGCTGCTCTTCACCCCATTCACAGGAAGGATCATCCTCATCGTCTTCRYCAYTATCGACCCTACGAACATGAACTGAACTTTGAGGGAATAGAATTTCCTGTAACTGTTAACAAAATCCCCAAATTTGAAAAACAAAATAAYATCGCTGTAAATGTTTTTGGCTTTGAGGATGGTACTTTGTTTCCAGTGTTTATTAGCGAACAGAGATTTAACGTCCACGTTAACCTACTTCTCTATTCTCAAGGTCAGCAAAGTCACTACTGCTTAATAAGAAATCTAAATCGACTTCTTTCTTATCAGAGCAAACATAATGGAACAATGTTCCGCTGTCCTCACTGTTTCCATGGATTTGTGCGAGACGATCTTCTACAGGACCACCAAGTGCGCTGTAGTAAACATGGTGCTCAGAGGATTGAGCTCCCCGATGACGAGAACATGTTTCTATACTTTAAAGATGTCCAAAAGCAACTTAAGGCTCCCTTTGTTATCTATGCTGATTTTGAAAGTCTCACTANTGGTGCCTGAACAAACTCTAGATCGACTGCAACATCGTGATAAAATAAAAACAGCCCCATTGACCTCCCGCTTGAGTAGACTGGATCATGAGATGGAAGAGGTTCTTCACAATAACGAGCTATCCAGTGAAGAGAAAGCTAGACTGTATAGTCAAGCATTGCAAAACTATCTCACTTATTACAATCAAAGAAAGGGAAACCCTTTGAAAATAAAATTTGAAGCTAGTGAAACCAACCAACAAAAAGATCAGCAAGGAGATGAAGAGCAACCATCACTGCCAGAAGCACCGAGACCAGAGGATCAAGATAAGGTAGRGCGTGATATCCTCAATGCTTTGCCCAAAGCGCTCAAAGCGCGAGGGAAAATGATGATAGAGAAAATCAGAGAAAATCCTGACATTATGAAATGGGATAGCCGTGGTCAACTACTATTTGAGGATCGACCNTGTTATATATTCATTATGCTCACGTCAGTCGTTACGCGCATGCGCGCGGAACCATGTGCTCGAGAGAGAACGGCCATGTTTGTCTTGTAAGATTGCTGTAATAAAGTTCTAGTTCACGACCAGAGTTTTAGTATTTAACAACTGGCGACGAGGATAAAGTACTACAAAACCTTCCGTTTTTAAAGATGGCTCAAGCACAGGTGGGCACAATTGAACCTTTTGATGGAGATGACTTCTCTGATTACAGCGAGCGACTCGACTCATATCTATTTGCCAATAACATTGGAAAAGTGGCCGCCGATGCCAACGAAGACACCAAGAAAGAAGCAGATAGACAAAAAGTGGCTACTACAATTTCAYTTATAGGAAAAAAGGCCTATAAAGTTCTGAAAGACCTCTGTTTACCCGAGAAACCCACAGATAAATCCTACAAACAACTCACGGAAATCCTTACAAATTTMTACAAACCCAAGGTACTTGAAGTAGCTGAATCGTATCGTTTCCACCATACAATTCAAGGTGAGAATGAATCTGTTACTGAATACGCCAATAAGCTTAAGCGTCTAGCTGTGCACTGCAATTTTGGCCCATACTTAACTAGAGCTTTAAGAGATCAATTTGTGGGGGGAGTAAGAGGTCAAAGTACAAAGAAGAAGTTGTTGTCAGAGGACAGAACATTTGAACAAGCTCTTAAAGTAGCTCAAGCCGATGAACTAGCAGAAAAGGAATCTAAATTGCTTTATACCAACACTGAATCAATTGATGTTAATCAACCTGTACATGCCTGTACTGCATCCAACTTMAAAAGTAAGGSCCAACCTGTCTCCACTACCTTCAATACTAGTGGTAAAAAATGTTTTAGATGTGATTCTACACAGCACCTAGCTGATAAGTGCAGCTATGTTAATGCTACTTGTTATTCCTGCAATAAAAAAGGCCATTTGTCTAAAGCTTGTTTTAAAAGAAAGAAAGAAAGTGAACCAAAGGCCCAGACCAATCTAGTTACAACCACTACTATTGAAGTTCAAGATCAGGAAAACTTTCAGAATCCACAAACTGTTTACATGCATAGTGTAAATACCTCTGCCAATACCTCATTATACAAACTTACTGTTAATATTGAAGATGCAAATGTTAAAATGGAAATTGATACTGGTAGTGCAGTCACCTTATTAAATACCAGTGATTTTAAGAAGGTGGGGGGCAGTATTAGTACCCTTAAACCTAGTACRMRGGTGCTTAAAGGCTACACAYGGAACACTATCAAGTGTTTAGGTGAGAAAGAAATGAGTCTGCGAGTGGGTGATCAAGTACATGATCTCACAATAAGAGTGGTGGACGGCCCCTCCTTGTTAGGGAGAGATATGATGTCTAAGTTTACATTGCCCTGGCATAACATATTTAATGTAGTATCCATTACTTCTGATGATATAGTACAGCAATACTCCACTCTTTTCGATAATACTTCAGTGGGAAAGTTAAAGGATGTCCAAGTTTCATTGAAAGTCGATGATTCCAACCCAGTTTTTCTAAAACCCAGAGTGGTAGGATTCTCTGTTCGTGATGACTATGAAATTGCACTAGATAAACTTGAAAAAGAAGGTATCATCGAGAGAGTTGAACATTCAGACTGGGCTTCGCCAACYGTTCCTGTTAAGAAGCCTGATGGTAGTATCAGAATATGTGGAGATTACTCGGGTACAATAAATAAGTTTGCTACTTTGGAACAGTACCCAGTACCTACGTTTGAGGAATTACAGAGTACAATGTCTGGAGGTATGAAATATACTAAACTTGACCTTTCGCAAGCATACCACCAGTTAGAGCTAACCCCAGAAAGTAGAAAGTACACTACTATTAATACACACAAGGGTTTGTATCAGTACAAGCGCCTTACATTTGGAATTAACAGTGCAGTGTCTATTTTCCAGCGCACGATTGAAAATGCCTTGAAGGGCTTGCCTGGATGCTGCGTCTACATTGATGATATACTAATTACAGGAGAAACAGATGAAATCCACTTACAAAACCTACATAAAGTACTCCAGCGCCTACAGGATCTGGGACTAAAGTT